ACTTGGGGAGTGCTTTTAGCCGGGATGGAAGATGTGATTTAGATGTGGACAGGCGTGTCGCTGCCGGTAACAAAGTCAATGGTGCCGTGACTGCGTTAGTCAAAAGGCTAGGCGTAGTGAAGAGTGCACGCCTTACAATACATAACGCAGTGTTGGTACCGACTTTGTTATATGGCAGCGAAACCTGGGTATGCCAGAAGAAGCATAAAAGCAAGTTGAATGCAGTGGCGATGCGATCTCTTCGTAAAATGTGCGGCGTTACCATGGCCGACCGAAAGCGAAACGAAGAGATTCGCAATATGGCAGGTTTGAAAGATGACCTTATCACAAAAATTGATAAGGGCGTGCTTCGGTGGTTTGGGCACGTTGAGCGAATGAGTGAAGACCGAATGGTGAAGAAAATATATAGTGCGAAAGTTAATATTAAAAGGTGTCGAGGTGGACCGAGACTAACTTTCGAAGACCATGTGAGCAAATTGCTCGAAGAGGGTAGGGTCAAAAGTACTCGGATACTTAGACGTGCATGCATGAAGAAGATAATAAATCTGAAAGAAGCGAAAGAGGTTTGTAAGGATCGTGACACTTGGCGATCTGTTCTCTCTGGCTACCCCGTCAGGGATTGTGCGTGAAGATAAGTAAGTAAGTAAAAAGAAATGGAAAAAAAGAAATTTTATTTCTTGACGGCCCCGTGGCGCAGTGGCTTAGCAATGAGTTGCTGCGCTGGGGGTCGCGGGTTCGAATCCCGCACGGAACAAGTTTTTGTATGCCCTGAAAATAATTTCTCGGGTCTGGATGTTTGTCCTTATGCAATTTATGTTTGTAAACTACCTCCATGATACAGGAGAAAATCCTAGTGTGGAGGTAACGTTTTTTAAAAAAAGACTTGAAATTGAAATAATTTTCTGCTTGGTAGGGCTCTATAAAGCGAAGTTTTTTCATTGGTCATTTTTACTGCCATTATGTAGACACTAGTTACGATACGTGCATATAAAATTTAAATCAGGTGCGTGTGATCACTCTGGGAGCTCGTAGCAAACTTTCGGTATATAAAAAGTACTCTGTGTAGCAAACTGAACGTGCGCCCAACGTGTGGACGCGGCAGCCAATACTCTGCCATAACCCTTTGATCTTTTGTAAAAAACCGACACCACACGGATCTTGCGCTAACTTGTGCGCCAACATTCCAATACATACCAACGTAAGCATAAACACCCGCTCTACACGATGGCTATCGTTGTTGGTCAACACATTCGCCAGTGTGTTTGGCCAACGTGAATAGCCGCCTTAAAACTAGTCCGTTGATAATTTTATGTGAACCAATGCGTTCGCCTTAAAATAACTCGCCTTAAAATATTCAACACGTTCAAACGAGTGTAGTTAAGTTTACCTACAAACACAATCATATATACATATTTATATCTTTGGGCGCACATCTATGCGCTTGACGCTTGATAAACGTTGTTCAAGTTTAAAAAGTCAGAAAGACAAAAAGAAAAAAACTTTGTGCTGCTACTACAAGTTTAAACAGTTATGAGACGATTTTTAAGCTTACCAAAATCCTAAGTATTTTGTGAAAAATCAAATCGGAAAAGATTAAGAATGTAATACAATGTAAGACACGCACTAATTATGTGTTTTTGTGCAAATATTTACGCAGCTGGATTTATACACAGCTGTTGTTTAATATTGGAAATTAAAATAATGGAACAATAACGTTGCAGAAAAAAAACGCGATGATAACATTTTCATTACAATAAAGTTTTATTAGATCATTATATTCGCCGTGCGATTCGCTTTTACAAATAAAAAAAGAAAATAGCCTGATTGTCCGGTAACTGACTTGCGATTTGTTTCCAAACACGGAAACGCTAATTTAAAACGTGTTTGTATTTCTTTTGTTGGGAGACTTGGTCTTTGTCGCACTTTGCTGCAAGGTATATTTGCTTTATCTTTGACTACCTCATTGGTCTAGTGGTCGTAAGTACGAATGATTTTTATAAGGTCCTGGGTTTCAAATCGCATAGGGTCAGGTTAAACTCAGTTATGTATTCGGTTTTTCTGTCAATAAATTCTCGGTTCTGCGAGAAGGTGTTCCACACGCCGTGCTTCAGAAAGCACGTATGTATATCCGTTGGTCCGGCACTTAATCTCTTTCCGGTTGTGACACATTGTCCTCTCATTGGATTATGAGTGTGAGGGAATAGAGTGCACCTGTGCTTGCGCGTATACTCGGGCAATATAATCCTGAACTGTGCGGATGACCGAGACCGTAACTGGTTGTGGAGGAATATATTTGTCGTGTTTTTTTTTTTAAATCACGATACTTTTCAAGACAATTTGAAAAACTAGCGAATTATTAAATCCGCCATTCGATTAATAATAGATCTTAATTAGATATGGAAAGCTTTATAAATAATTTCACAACAAATTGTTTATGTGAATACATTTTTTATAAATTTAATCACATGAATTATATTTATAGGAATTAAATATAGAGATATATTTAGGAGGCAAATCATTTAAAAAATTAAAGTATCTAAATTGTTTTAAAAATAATTCTTTTATATTTTGTAGACAACTATTGTCATTGCATATTCATGTAAGGCGTCAATGTTTTCGCACGAATTCACATGAAAACATCAGGTCGAAGTAAGCCGTTAAGGAGAACGCACATTTATCAGCAACGTACGCGCCATACGCGCCGCTTTTTAGAATTCGTTGTATGAAATTATATGAACCTCGCACATTTCACCCGCACCGTACGCGCCGTATTTTATAAAATGCGTTAGGTATCCGAATATTGAAGGAGGCATGCTGATAAAGTCATATAATGCGACGCGTTCGGCGCGTGCTAGTAATCTGTGTTGCGTAATGTTGCCAACTTAATGGATTTTCCACTTAAAGTGGTGGTTGCGACTTTTTTTTATAGCAGAGGGGGCAAACGAGCATGCGGTTCACCTGATGGTAAGTGACTACCGCCGCCCATAAACAACTGCAACACCAGGGGAATCGCAGATGCGTTGCCGGCTTTTTAAAAAGGAGTAGGCTCTTTTCTTGAAGGTCCCTAAGTCGTATCGGTCCGGAAAAATCGCTGGTGGTAATCTATTCCACAAGGAAGTTGTGCGAGGGAGAAAACTTCTTCTGAATCGCACAATGGTGGACCGCCAATCATCCAGATGATATGGATGGTATCGCAAGTTTTGTCGCGATGTACGATAGTGAAATTGAGCGGCTGGAATTAGTTCGAACAATTCCTCAGAGCACTCCCCGTGGTAGATGCGATAAAATATGCAAAGAGACGTAACATCTCTACGCAGTGCCAGTGAGTCAAGCCGATCGGAAAGAACTCGGTCGTCAACGATTCGAACCGCTCTGCGCTGGATGCGGTCATGTGGAAGAAGCTGGCACTGGGGAGCCCCTGCCCAGAGATGGGAACAGGTATTCCATGTGAGGCCAAACATGCGCCTTGTAAAGTTGCAAGCGTTGCGCCCGCATGAAATACTGCCCCGCTCTGCTGAGCACGCCAAGCTTTTTAGAGGCCAATTTGGCCTTCTCTTCCAAGTGAACACGAAACTGCACGTCACTCGATATGCCGACACCGAGGATACCGATACTGGCTGAGGCAACAAGGGGAGTGCCTTGAAACTGAGGAGATACGACAAAGGGATTCTTTTTAGCGATAAACGCGCAAACTTGTGTCTTTTGGGGATTGAACTGGTCTAGATTTAGTCGCCCTCAGTCTGAGACTTTGTTCAACAAAGTTTCGACTTCAGACACAAGTTTGTTCCGGTACTCGGCGACGTTTTCCCAAAAAATATTGGCACGGCCGGTGAATAAAGTGTCATCAGTGCTGTCGTCTGCATAGCAATGAATGTTATGGCTTCACCGTCTCTAGATGGTAATGGACAGCGTTAAGGTTGGAATGAAGTCCCCTGATATTGCAAAAATTCACGGATAGCGTGAAAGGGGTCGCCTTGTTCTTATTGCTCCGCTTGTCCCGAGCAGTATCAGTCGCGAGCGGAATTTTGCCTCCCCCCCCCCCCCCCCCCTTGGTCGTGGATGCTCAGCGAGGGATTCTCCAAAGGTGCTGGTACCCTCCTGGGGTAGCCTTCTGTTCAATTCCACTACTATGTTGAATTGAACAGAATGGGGGGGGGGGGGGGGGGATTGAGCATCCGGCCACATGCACTTACCAATGACCATTAACTCACTTAGACGTTTTGAAAAATATTTCTACTTTTACTGTGTAGGTAACAATGAGTCGTTACACAAAACATGCATAAGACGATCCATCCATCAAATGTAAATATCTGAAAAATCGTTCGTCATTATCTAATAAGTCTTTATATAACGTATAATAATCTCGATACAACTGTCTTTTTAAATTAATATTGTGTATCCAGAATCTTCTTCTACTTCGAATTTTATTTTCTTCTTCCTCTGCCAATAAACAGGCTATTACAACAATTTTTTCCATAGCGATCCGATCAATGTCACTGTACCGTCTCACACCAATGGTTAGAAAAAACTGCAAAAGTTGTTGCAATACTAAAGATTTGCTTACGGCTCGTACATGCTAATATCCGAGACCATCAGTAAATGCGGCGCGTACGGTGCGTACGGTGCTGATAAATGTGCGATCACCTTTAAAGCCTACTTTAGGCAGCGTAAACTGTAGAATTTTAGAGTCCAATTAAGAAACTCGAGCAATATTTATGTTTTAGATTAATATAAATATAATTTGAATACAAATTGACTTCTAAAACGAAAAAAAGTTTATAAATTGCATTATTCTTATAAGCCTTTAATTTAATATCTAGGTTGAAAAATAGATTTGACTGATTGAACTTCATCGATAGAGTAGGCTACAACGGTCTAGTATACGTTTTACATAGATCTAATGATACTTAAAGTTTAATAAATTAGTAATGTTGAACTTGATTTAAAACTAAAACTAATTTATTATTGTAACTCACTAAAAATATTTAAAAAAAACTTACCGTATTCAGGACACGAGATGCAAATTACCACTGCCAGAAGAAAGCCAAACACCTCGCTGCCGAAAAATTTTCCGGCCATTTTTCCTCTTAATCCTCAACCTACGCTTGAATTTACAACCATTGTCATTTTCTATATCAAGTAGGTAAGTGTTCCAACTCTGATTAAATAGTAATATCTGGAGTGGAGCAGTTTAACAACATTTTAAGTGTTGTTTGGTTTTTCAGTTTTATTATGTCGAGTTGAGGATGTTACATCTGAAACAAAAAAAAAATGAATTATTATTGCTTTATGATAACATTATAAAAAATATGTGTACTTAGTTTTATGACATATTCACGTTTTTAAATAAATAAATATTACCAACTGAAATATTATTAATAATAATAAGTGAGTATTATACATTAAACCTTTCCGGTAATCATTAACAAAAACTGCCTTTTTCATTAATCCGAAGCTACGTTTATATCATTAAATACATAATTCGTAAAAATGGAATGATTTCACTGGTTTGCTACCCATGCAGTCTGTCAGTCAGTCTAAATGCCCCTTTTCGTGCAATCGGTGCTTGTTATTGTGAATTTAAAAAGCGACGGAAGCCTAATGGTATGGTTCAAACTGCAAACTCAAAAAGTCATTACTCCGAATCCACTATTCGGCTACTGTGGTGAAACAATCTTAACACAAGCTTTGAAGCTTACTTATAGTAGTTACCGGTAGTATGAGTAATATTAAGCATTACTAGTTTTGTATAAAAAAATCATCTGTTAATATAATATATGTCATATTCCTAGTAATAATTATGCGTAAAATATTTTCACCGAGGAATAAAAACACAAAAAAGTTAAAACACTAGAAATTAATTAACGTCATCATAGACATAAATAATCACCATCGAAAAGTTATGAGTGATTTCAAAAAAGTCATAACGGCCACTTTATTATCTCTAAGCTAAAGTACTTACTTTTTTATAATTTAAAAGTGACACATGAGCTGACAGTCCTGCCAAAAAAGAAGAGACTAAATGCTTTATCGCCGCTGAAAACAAAAATGAAATACTCACGTTATATAATTATACTGAAACTTGGCACCTTACTGTTTAAACTGTTACTATTTGATAGTGTAGAGAACCAGAAACCATTTTACTGGAAACGAAGCATTCTGTCTTAGTGATTAGGGGTGAGTACGCATCTGTAGTTTGATTCTTAACACTTTTATTGTCCGGTTTTCAGACACAATAGTAAGACAACAGCAATGACCTATATGTAGAGCTAGGGACAGCGAAAGGGTTAATTGAGTATATATGTACATCTTTGAGCCAGAGCATCCACTATCAGGTGGAATGTGTGCTTAGTTATCATCCTTATTCTGTAAAAAGGTGTCTCCAGATCAGAAGAATCATTAGTCAGAATTCTTCTGTCTGGAAGACCATCTTGGCACCTTTTGAAATTTGTTTAATAACGGAAAATAATTTATCGATTAATAATTTAAAATGATTGTGAAATACACTGAAACTAGTAATGGATCCCAAACAATAATAAACGTATTGTTTTCCTTTAGCAAGCAACCCGTGCGAGTAACGTATAATATCTGTTCAACATGTCGCTGCTGGAAATGACCTGAAAAGAACGACGTGTAATATACAAAGGCGTCCGAGACAGAAATCGTATTTGTATAACCGAGCTTTATGTTCACCGCGAGTGTTGCCCGTGTGTACCAGGTTCTATACACAACTCTCAAGTCATGTCCTAATTAATAGCGATTCTGGCACACACAGTTATTCTATGTCCTCTCTGTAGTGAAATGTAGCACATATAATCATATAAATAATTAACAATAGGTGTTATATTTCCGTCTTGACATGATATTTTAGTGGCTCTTACTAACATTGTTATACGTTATTATTCCATGCTTCAAATATAATATTATCGTTATAGCACAAATGGGTCGGCTACGCTCTCACAGAATACCAGCGTAAAATAGCAACTTAATGCTGCTGTGTTTCGTATGGTCATTTTTACTAAAAACGAAGTATCCCATCTTAGTCCTTAGTGGTGACAACGGATCTGCTATTTAATTTTTAATCGTTGATAGAGGGAGATGTCTATGGGCTACAACATGCACTTACGACCATGTGGACTGTGCGCTTATTTGTCACATTTAATCTTTAAAAAATAACATGAAATTGTTGGTTGTTTTTTGCGTTTACTTACCGCAGGATTTACGACAAAGAAAAACATCAAGGTTTTTGTCTTTCACTGAAATAAAAAAAAAGTTACTAGAAACTATGATATTCACTAACATATACTTTACTTAATGAGACAACCGAATTATCTTCCTACTGCATCCGAAGCTGGAAGCTTCAGAAAGCGGATACTAGGGACAAATATCATGCAAGGGTAGCCGAAAAGCTTGACACCATCGATGGCAGAAATGAATGTGTAGAAAGAACTTGGCAGAACCTTAGGGATGGAATGGTAAGTGCAGCGGAAGAAGTGTGTGGAACAATAAAAAGAGGCAGTAGTAAAAGAAGAGATGCATGGTAGAATGATGAAGTGAAAGAAGCTGTAAAGAAGAAGAAGAAAGCATGGTTAGACTACTTGGCCTCTGGTAATGATAAGGATATGAGAGAGAAGATGAAAGAAAGATATAGGCTGCAGAAAGTTCACACGAAAGCACTGATAGAGGAAGTGCGTGAAAGGTGTAGAATGGAAGCGGACGAAAGGTTGTCGCACAACTTTAAGGAGAACTCCAAACTCTTCTGGAAAGAGGTTGGAAGGATCCGAAGTGGTGCGACGGCCTTAAGAATGAACAAAGTGCTTTCGAGAACTAATGACGTCCTCTCAGAAAAATCGGACGTCATGCAGCGATGGAGCTAATTTTATAGAGAAATGTATGCGTGTGATTATCTTAGTGAGGGATCCGGGGATGACGCCGTGACTGGTACGCCAGACCCGGACCTCGATGAAACTGAGATCATCAGTATGAAAGAGATTGAACGTGCGATTCGAAGTTTGAAATGTGGTAAGGCTGCGGGACTAGACAGAGTTACTGCTGAAATGGTCAAGTATGATGGGCCTCGCGTCTGGGACAGCTTTCATCTGCTGTGCAATTTGTGCTGGCGGACGGGGGATGTCCCGGATGATTGGCGATCCGCAGTCATTGTGCCTTTATATAAAGGTAAAGGTTCACATTTTGACTGCGGGTGCTATCGGGCGATCAGCTTGACCAGTTTAGCAAGTAAAGTTTACTCGAAGGTTTTAACACGTAGGATGCAAGAGAAATCGGAAAGATTTCTATGGGAGGCACAATGCGGATTCAGACCTGGAAGAGGATGCACGGATCAAATATTTTCTCTCCGCATGATCACGGAAAAGTTTCTGGCTGCTAACCAGAAGATTTTCTGTGCTTTAGTGGATCTTGAGAAAGCATTTGATAAGGTTGTAAGGAAGAAAATGTGGGAACTGTTGCCGGGGTATGGTGTGGATGGTCGATTGCTAAGGGCTGTGCAGTCTCTTTACTGTGACTGTAAAGCCTGTGTGCGGGTAGGGCATGACCTGTCACCCATGTTTAACGTCCAAACGGGCGTAAAGCAGGGTTGTGTCATGTCTTCCTGGCTGTTCATACTGTATCTCGACAGCTGTTTACAGAAGCTGAAAGATAGCTGTTTGGGTGTGAAATTGGGTGACATAAAAGTAAATTGTCTGCTGTATGCTGATGATGCAGTGCTTATTGCACCATCAGAGGCAGAACTGCAGGCATTAGTCACGTGTATGAAAGAGGAATGTGAAATTAAAGGTCTCCGTTTGAATGCTAATAAAACTAAGGTTTTGGTATTTGAAAGGGACGAAGAGAGAACGAAGTGTGAAATATGGGTAAATCAGGAATGTCTAGAACAGGTAAATGAAATTGTATACTTGGGTAGTGCTTTTAGCCGGGATGGAAGATGTGATTTAGATGTGGACAGGCGTGTCGCTGCCGGGAACAAAGTCAATGGTGCCCTGACTGCGTTAGTCAAAAGGCAAGGCGTAGCGAAGAGTGCACGCCTTGCAATACATAACGCAGTGTTGGTACCGACTTTGTTATATGGCAGCGAAACCTGGGTATGCCAGAAGAAGCATAAAAGTAAGTTGAATGCAGTGGAGATGCGATCTCTTCGTAAAATGTGCGGCGTTACCTTGGCCGACCGAAAGCGAAACGAAGAGATTCGCAATATGGCAGGTTTGAAAGATGACCTTATCACAAAAATTAATAAGGGCGTGCTTCGGTGGTTTGGGCACGTTGAGCGAATGAGTGAAGACCGAATGGTGAAGAAAATATATAGCGCGAAAGTTAATATTAAAAGGTGTCGAGGTAGACCGAGACTAACTTTCGAAGACCATGTGAGCAAATTGCTCGAAGAGGGTAGGGTCAAGAGTACTCGGATACCTAGACGTGCATGCATGAAGAAGATAATGAATCTGAAAGAAGCGAAAGAGGTTTGTAAGGATCGTGACACTTGGCGATCTGTTCTCTCTGGCTACCCCGTCAGGGATTGTGCGTGAAGATAAGTTAAGTTAAGTTTTTATCTTCCTACTGCAATTCATGAGGCTCAGTTTCAGTGTTTAAGGCGCGGCTATACATGTATCCATATGTATTTAAGTATATATGTATGTATATGTATTTATTATCTTTATTTTATATTATGTATATTAGTATTATAATATTTAATATGAGAGCGCACAATAGATCTGCTTCACTTTAAATCTGTCCAGTAGCGGGTCTGCTGGAAGAAATTTCAACATTAAATAAGCAGTGCCTTCGTATAAAATATTTTTATTTTTATTTTTCACTGCAACACTAATTAACGTGTACTTTTAAATAAATAAATATAACATAACAGCTTGATGGAAGGACGCATTTTCAGATTATGAAATTGTGTGGATAATTCTTCTCTTGAGTTCCAGTTGAAAATAATTAAATCAGGCGTCACTTTGTGGAAATCAATTTATGATTAGAGGAGAAAATAATTTGCTTTAGTCTCAGTGCAAAACCAAAACTGGTCACACCAACTGTATAACAAATAACTCATTTTTAAACCG